CTTGGCTCTGTGAAGACTGTAACTATGACCAATTCATCTGAGCACCACATAAGGGTACAATCAGAGGAGACTCGGTGTGGAAAGTGTGGGGAAATGGACCACCAAACAGGAAATTGACGATCACCTTTGGTTTCTTTTACTTAGGAAATCTCGGGCCCTGCATACAATCTCCATACTGGAGCAAGAGAAACCAATCAAAACGAAAGCAATCAGAAACAAGTGTTTTAATGAAGGATCATATTTACAATGATTTTTTCCAAAGTATTATGGAATGTATAATTCTATCAGGTCAAATATTGCAGGATCAATAACCTCTTGTAGACCAAGTTGCAGTTAGTACTAAATATAATACAACCTATTAAATCATTATTAATAAGAAATTCAGCATCAGCCTTTGAGATAAGAAAATATAGATAGGTTTGGAGGGCAGATACTTTGAGAAAGAGTCCTTGAGAAATTAAGATCAACTGATGTGGGGGGGGAATGCAAAAAATAACAGTACACATAGCTGAGTCTACTAAGCTCAGTGCATTTTTATGCTACACGGTAAAAATGTAACAAGTAACACGCCTTCAAAGCCGTCATTGCCACAGAGGTACTAACTTTATAAAAAGCTCAACATTTTAGATCCTGTGGCACTTGGGGATTTTCATTCCCTATCCAATTATTAAAACACAAATACACTGACATTTTCTGTTGTGAAGCACTAATTGTTTATCAGCTTCATTTCCTTGGAAACCATGGCTCTTCTAGACTGGAAGACTTCAGTGCATTCAGTGCAGCCATGGAAATCTTAGTTGCTGCCCCCCATGTCCCAACAGCAGCCGGGGGGGGGATAATCCTAAACACGTTTCTGTGGGATTCCAAGCCTTTCTAATCCCTTGACATGCCCTCAGATAAAGGGGGACATATGCCACTCCTGGGACTGGTCTACTTGTTTTCCCTCCATTTAAGACCAATGGGATAGAATATATTTCATGTGGGAGGCAGGACACACTTTCTGCCCTATTGGCGTGAGCCCAGCAGGGCTGAAGATTTGTCCTACCAACCAGAGAACCAAGCCTATCCCATACCTTCATTGGGTACTCCTCATCAAATCTCTTCTTTAGAGACCCTTAAGCATAAAGAGTTCAAAATTAATTTGGTACCCAATGCCAGTAACAGAAAATGAAGACTAAATCCTACAATAGTTACATATATCTTATGTACAAAAGCACCCAATTAAGGCTAACTTTTGTGTAGATACTACACAAGCAAAATTATACTTTTGGGGGACAGTATTTATTAATAGGAATGTAGTAACATTGGCTACAAATTATAGCTTCTCACAGAAGGAGCAACCAGTGTGCATGTTTAGAATGCCCCCAAGCAGTACAATGGGCAAACAAGAAGTGGCATGAAGCAATTGCTAAATCCTCATTTCCCCCCACTTTCTTAAGCAAAAGGAGCCCCAGCAAATCACAGGAATGGGAAAAATGTATTGTCCAAAGAAAGGATGCATTTCTTTTCTTGTTGCTGGTTGAGGGTTTTTAAAAAAAGTATTATCTTACCATGTTTATTTGGGGGGGAAGTTGCTAATACTCAATTTGCAATCATTAACTTCTCACAAACATGGTACATTTCCTACTCCTATGACTTGGTGGGGGTAATGTCTTCTACCTGAGATCAGAGAAAGACATATGTTCATTTGGTGCTTCAAGCCACTGCAGCCTTTCCTGTTTTGGGGGACAGTTGTGGGAGAGAGATATTTCGGATGTCAGACACTCAGATATGGTTGTTTGTAAGCAGCTGCAATGCATAGCCAGGCTCATCGAAGTGTAAGCAGGCATGTTACCTGAGGAACTAAGAAATCAACTGCAGAGTATGACATGCTTTCCATAGTTGGCTTACAGTATGTAAGCATCAGTCACTACAGTGAAAGCAATGTAAGCTCCGGAAGTTACAAAGAGTCTAAAAGCCTTTTTAAGAAACGAAAATAAAATGAGATACTAAGATAACAGAAGATAGTATTTCCCCAGTACAGCCTACAATAGAAATTGTAGGCTACTTTCACCTCTGCTGTTGCACCAGCAACAAAAACAATCCCAAACTCTATTTCATTTCATCCTGCAGACAGTCAGCCATCCTACCTGCAGCTAAGAGTACAGCCCTTGAAAGTTATGCTCATGATTCAAATCAAAGCACTATCCAAGCATCAGATAAAAAAGTGACACCTCTTCACTCTCAACTAGGAAGTGAAAAATACCGGGTTTTAGTATATGAATGACTAGAAGTAAGAATTGTCCAACTTATGTCACATTAAAATAATTTGCAGAAGGTAATAATGTTCTTTCAACAAATAAAAACCAAGCTATTTCTCCAAGTGAACTTCAAACCAAGAGAATAATCACACTAAGGAACAACTGACTGGTTATTACATCTCTAACATGTGGTGGCTGCAATCTGAAAACTTTGGTCCTTCTCATAGTAGGAACTGGCTCCTACTTTCAGAATAAAACTTAAAAAGCAAATAGCTGCACTTATAAGCTGTAGAACAAAGGATCTAACTCTAAAGTTCCATTTTTAAAAAGGAAGTACCATAAAACTACTTCAATGTTTTGACTAGTCCTCCATTCAGGTAACATAAGCAAAAATTGAAAGTTGAAAGAGGACAGTGTTTTGAGCTACATGAGACAGATCTTAACAAGCTTTGGCCCACATAGTATTCTTGCAGACCTAATGATTTGCTCTTTCACTGACAACATCCTGAAGGCGTTTCAGTAAAACATCATCATTTTCCTGGCACAGTCTCTTTGCTGGTGATTCTGTGTCACTGTCAATTGAGATTGCTCTCTTCTTAGGCCTCTGTCCTCCTTGTTTTATCATATTGTTGATTTCCTTCAAACTCTGAAAATTAAAGAATTACAATCAAAGCTGGTAATAATTAAAGATAAAAACAAAAAGAGCTTAATATGTGTCTTTATTAGAGTATATTAGAGGGAAATCCAACATTGCACAAACTTCCCCTTCCTCTAATCTGTACTGTAGAATATCAAGTCAGTTCCACTTATGCACCAACTCAACTAGATATTACCCTTAGCTTTCAAAAATGTTCAGAAGTGCGGTATAATATGACTTACCGTACTTGATTACTGCCCATCTTACAGATTTAATGAGCTCCAAAAAGCAGAACCACACCTGAAAGAAGTGCAGCTGCAATTCCAAAATATTTCCAACATAAATAAAAAAAAGACTGAGGCAATGGATCTGAGGTAAGAGGTGGAGCCAGGGTGGGGGGAGGTTTAAAGTTTGGGAACAACTTTGGTGGATTGACTGGTATGGCCATACAGATGGATGGGTCAAAGTAATATATTCAGGAGCCTTGACAAGAGACACTGCAAGTAGATTGTAATGTAAATAATTCATAATCAAATGTACTGCTATATATTTTTGGGGCCAGTGTCTGTGCAAGTCACCCATAAATCCTGGAATTAGTAAAAATTAGAAACAATCAAGGTTTGATTAAACTGTGCCAAACACAAAAAACCCCTGCTGGATTTGGTTTAGGGGCCTGGCCTGCTCAGCAGCTAGCTGGATGGTGGCCATTTGAAGAACAATAGCTGATGATGGCCAGACACTGACCCTTCAAAGAAGCCATCAAGAGAGTGAAGATGTACCAGACAAGGAGGGGTGCAGCCCTTCATCTAGCTATGGGCAGAAACCAAAGGGGTTTAGGATTTCATGATGGGTGCCATAGGCTGGGAGGGAAACAGTACAGAGTTAATTATTAAATTCACTCTCACAAGAGAGAGTGATGGCTACCAACTTGGATGACATTAAGATTAAACCTATTCATAGCAGGTAAGACTATCATTGGCTACTATCCATGATAGCTACATTCTTATCTCCACTGTTGGAGGCACCATGTCTCTCTCCATACCAGTTGCTGGGAATCACAAGTGGGCAGAGTGCTGTTACTACCAGGTCCTGGCTCTGGGCATGCCATAGCCATTTGGTGGCCATTATGAGGATGCTGGACCAGATGAGCCTTTAGTGTGATCCAGCAGGGCTGATTTTATGCAGGGGGGAGGAGAGAGAGGAGAGGTCCCGCTGCAGCAGTTCTCTGTGCAATGTTGTTTTTCAGTAATGTTACATTCAGATGGTGATCCAGGAAGCTCATTGCCAAATGGCTAGGTTCCCTTATATCTTGCGCAAAAGATTTCATATTGCAGAACAATTATTTCAAAATCTTGTGAAGTAAACAAAAAAGGGTGATGCGCGGACACACACACACACACCCCAGCTCGTTCCCAAGAAGGTTCCCATGCATTTCACAACCCTGAAAAATACTGCATTGCTGCCTTATGTTCAGCTTGTGGTCTACTAAGATCCTATATATTTTTCATATACAATACAGCTGTTGAGCCATCTGATTCTTCAGACCTAAATGCAGAACTTTTATCTGTTTTGAAATTCATTTTGTTTTGATTTAGTTCTCCGTTTCTTTCAGTATAATCCTGAATATTGCTTCTAAGGCATTTGCTACTCTGCCCAATTTGCAGCGAGTCATTTGCAGATACAATGAGCATCTCCACCACTCCTTTGTCTTAGTTAGGTGTCAACACACATTTTGGTCCTGAGGAGGCAAGTGGAATTTTGAGTGTCATGAGCACCACCCTCTTCAATAGCACCCTCTCTCTCTCTCTCCACTCTGCTGGGTCACTCCACACCCTCAATAGATAGAAATAGAAATTCTGCAAGCACTTATCATGAACTCCTGTGCCCCTTGAATGAATCTCTTCAACAGAAATTTGCTTCACCCTTGGCTCTGTGATGACTGTAACTATGACCAATTCATCTGAGCACCACATAAGGGTACAATCAGAGGAGACTCGGTGTGGAAAGTGTGGGGAAATGGACCACCAAACAGGAAATTGACGATCACCTTTGGTTTCTTTTACTTAGGAAATCTCGGGCCCTGCATACAATCTCCATACTGGAGCAAGAGAAACCAATCAAAATGAAAGCAATCAGAAACAAGTGTTTTAATGAAGGATCATATTTACAATGATATTTTCCAAAGTATTATGGAAATGTATAATTCTATCAGCTCAAATATTGCAGGATCAATAACCTCTTGTAGACCAAGTTGCAATTAGTACAAAATATAATACAACCTATTAAATCATTATTAATAAGAAATTCAGCATCAGCCTTTGAGATAAGAAAACATGGAAAGGTTTGGAGGGCATATACTTTGAGAAAGAGCCCCTGAGAAATTAAGATCAATTAATGGGGGGGGGGGATGCACAAAAATAACAGTAGACATAGCTGAGTCTACTAAGCTCAGTGCATTTTTATGCTACATGGTAAAAATGTAACAAGTAACACACCTTCAAAGCCGTCATTGCCACAGAGATACTAACTTTATAAAAAGCTCAACATTTTAGATCCTGTGGCACTTGGGGATTTTCATTCCCTATCCAATTATTAAAACACAAATACACTGACATTTTCTGTTGTGAAGCACTAATTGTTTATCAGCTTCATTTCCTTGGAAACCATGACTCTTCTAGACTGGAAGACCTCAGTGCATTCAGTGCAGCCATGGAAATCTTAGTTGCTGCCCCCCATGTCCCAACAGCAGCAGGGGGGGGGGAATAATCCTAAACACGTTTCTGTGGGATTCCAAGCCTTTCTAATCCCTTGACATGCCCCCAGATAAAGGGGACATATGCCACTCCTGGGACTGGTCTACTTGTTTTCCCTCCATTTAAGACCAATGGGATAGAATATATTTCATGTGGGAGGCAGGACACACTTTCTGCCCTATTGGCGTGAGCCCAGCAGGGCTGAAGATTTGTCCTACCAACCAGAGAACAAGCCTATCCCATACCTTCATTGGGTACTCCTCATCAAATCTCTTCTTTAGAGACCCTTAAGCATAAAGAGTTCAAAATGAATTTGGTACCCAATGCCAGTAATAGAAAATGAAGACTAAATCGTACAATAGTTACATATATCTTATGTACAAAAGCACCCAATTAAGGCTAACTTTTGTGTAGATACTACACAAGCAAAATTATACTTTTGGGGGACAGTATTTATTAATAGGAATGTAGTAACATTGGCTACGAATTATAGCTTCTCACAGAAGGAGCAACCAGTGTGCATGTTTAGAATGCCCCCAAGCAGTACAATGGGCAAACAAGAAGTGGCTTGAAGCAATTGCTAAATCCTCATTTCCCCCCACTTTCTTAAGCAAAAGGAGCCCCAGCAAATCACAGGAATGGGAAAAATGTATTGTCCAAAGAAAGGAAGCATTTCTTTTCTTGTTGCTGGTTGAGGGTTTTTAAAAAAAGTATTATCTTACCATGTTTATTTGGGGGGAAAGTTGCTAATACTCAATTTGCAATCATAACTTCTCACAAACATGGTACATTTCCTACTCCTATGACTTGGTGGGGGTAATGTCTTCTACCTGAGATCAGAGAAAGACATATGTTCATTTGGTGCTTCAAGCCACTGCAGCCTTTCCTGTTTTGGGGGACAGTTGTGGGAGAGAGATATTTCGGATGTCAGACACTCAGATATGGTTGTTTGTAAGCAGCTGCAATGCATAGCCAGGCTCATCGAAGTGTAAGCAGGCATGTTACCTGAGGAACTAAGAAATCAACTGCAGAGTATGACATGCTTTCCATAGTTGGCTTACAGTATGTAAGCATCAGTCACTACAGTGAAAGCAATGTAAGCTCCGGAAGTTACAAAGAGTCTAAAAGCCTTTTTAAGAAACGAAAATAAAATGAGATACTAAGATAACAGAAGATAGTATTTCCCCAGTACAGCCTACAATAGAAAATTGTAGGCTACTTTCACCTCTGCTGTTGCACCAGCAACAAAAACAATCCCAAACTCTATTTCATTTCATCCTGCAGACAGTCAGCCATCCTACCTGCAGCTAAAAGTACAGCCCTTGAAAGTTATGCTCATGATTCAAATCAAAGCACTATCCAAGCATCAGATAAAAAAGTGACACCTCTTCACTCTCAACTAGGAAGTGAAAAATACCGGGTTTTAGTATATGAATGACTAGAAGTAAGAATTGTCCAACTTATGTCACATTAAAATAATGTGCAGAAGGTAATAATGTTCTTTCAACAAATAAAAACCAAGCTATTTCTCCAAGTGAACTTCAAACCAAGAGAATAATCACACTAAGGAACAACTGACTGGTTATTACATCTCTAACATGTGGTGGCTGCAATCTGAAAACTTTGGTCCTTCTCATAGTAGGAACTGGCTCCTACTTTCAGAATAAAACTTAAAAAGCAAATAGCTGCACTTATAAGCTGTAGAACAAAGGATCTAACTCTAAAGTTCCATTTTTAAAAAGGAAGTACCATAAAACTACTTCAATGTTTTGACTAGTCCTCCATTCAGGTAACATAAGCAAAAATTGAAAGTTGAAAGAGGACAGTGTTTTGAGCTACATGAGACAGATCTTAACAAGCTTTGGCCCACATAGTATTCTTGCAGACCTAATGATTTGCTCTTTCACTGACAACATCCTGAAGGCGTTTCAGTAAAACATCATCATTTTCCTGGCACAGTCTCTTTGCTGGTGATTCTGTGTCACTGTCAATTGAGATTGCTCTCTTCTTAGGCCTCTGTCCTCCTTGTTTTATCATATTGTTGATTTCCTTCAAACTCTGAAAATTAAAGAATTACAATCAAAGCTGGTAATAATTAAAGATAAAACAAAAAGAGCTTAATATGTGTCTTTATTAGAGTATATTAGAGGGAAATCCAACATTGCACAAACTTCCCCTTCCTCTAATCTGTACTGTAGAATATCAAGTCAGTTCCACTTATGCACCAACTCAACTAGATATTACCCTTAGCTTCCAAAAATGTTCAGAAGTGCGGTATAATAGTCAATCTTTGATTAAATTATTACAATCACATATAGTATTAGGGCACTTCAAAAGGTATGGAGAAGGTTTTAAACACTTAAACAGCATTAATCTTACCTTAGAAGGGCTCCCATTAAATTTATATAAGAGGGCAGTTTTAGGTGTCAAGCAAGCACCATTCTTATGAGGTGAAACATAAACAGAATGTTGTTGGGATATCCGCCGAGGCGATACAGGTTGATGTTTAATGCTAGGAAATGGGGAAAGGGAAGGTGCTTCAACCTTGGAAAGAAAAATTGCAGAGTTAAATACAGACAGGCCATTCTCTAATTTTACAAATGTAAGATTTAACGGAAGAACACAAGCTCAAAAATGACAACTGTGACGAAGTTTATTTGACCATCTATACAATTTTCTAAACCATGTATGTTACACTCTTAATTTTGAAGGATCTTTTTCAGCCACTGAAGAGATTCCCGAGGCTGCTTCCATAACTTATTCACCAAAAATACCAATTCAACATCAAATAGATACCATTAATTCGATCTTAGGCTTTGAAGAGAATTCTCTGCTACCCAAGACTTGGAGGAACCTGTTGTACAGCAGTTAAGAGGGGAACAATATAACGTGCACCTCTTTGAATCTCTCTTTAGAATACACCACATCTAATAACAATTCTATTCAACATACCACATTTGTTATGTATGCATTACTTAAAACTTAGGTTATTTATCATCACAGTAATACTGAAATTTAGGGCTGTTAGGTCTTTTACATACAGTGGAAACTCGAGTTGCGGATGTAATCCGTCCCGGAGGCGCGTCAAAGTGTTCACATCCAGAAGCGCCACGCCTGCGTGTGTGCGCGCGCTTTAGTGCTTCTGCACATACAGCAAAACCTGGAAGAAATCCGTTCTGGTACTTTCAGGTTGCTGTGGGACACAACTTGAAAAGGCGTAACCTGAAGCTGACGCAACATGAGGTATGACTGTATTGAAGGATCTTTCGGAGAACCTAACGATTTCTCAAGATATTTTGAATATAAATTTGCAACCATTCAAATTATGCTTATGTAGAAGGCTAATGACCCAAAGTACACCACGGTACTACTTCTTATTGGTTACACAAAGAAAGTTTTATAATTGATTAATACAAACAGATTTAACAGGAGTCCACATAGTTTTTCCCCAATTACTCTTATCTGGGTGATTACCTCTGGGTGATGTTTATCTGATGTGGGTTCTAATTTCAGTGCGAAGACCTGCACTCTTCCTAAATAGACGGTGTCATAAAATGTTGGAAGATCCCCTCTCTCCTCCTTTTCCAAGCCTTTGGGAATTTCTGGTTTTGTTCTCATAGGTGAACAGCTCATCTTCCTGGGTAAGTCTAATGAAATGAAGGTGTAAGAAAAATAACATAGGCCATTATTATTATTATTAAAATGATGCGGGGAAATTTGAAATGGTAGAGATACAGGCAGATAGATAACTTCTCTGTTCACCATCCACCCAATCTGTAGTGCTGCTATAATCGGTCCAACAGCACAAGCCTTTGCTTGTTTACTTAGAAGTAAGTAACTTAGGTACAACATCCCCAGTCTTAAGTGGTTGTAGTAAATGTGGATTGAGCCAATGTATGTAATGTCAAACCAGTAATAAAATCAGTTCACCATGTAATGAATTCTGGCCAAATTATCCAACACAGGTGCTCATCTTGCCTTCTTTCATCTTGTAACTGGAGACCGAGGAGACTCTGTGACAAGGAGTGCCTTTCATCAGTTTAGGGTGGTATGCCAGCTCTGGCCTCCTGGACAGAAATAGCCCAACCCATGTTGAGTAGCATCTAGGATTGACTGCTGTAATGCATTTTATATGATGCTTCTGAAGGCTATTTGCTGACTGGGACAGGTTAATGAGAATGTATTTCAACAGCACTGAAAGAACCTTATTGCTTTCTAGACCATTTCCAAACACAATCAAAGTGCTGGTGCACCTGCTCTCATGAAGGCCTGTCTCTGCACTGGGGTCATCCACATTCATGACATTTAGGAATCTTGTAAAAACACATCTCTGCTCCCAGGCCTGTGTTAATGCAGTATAGTATAGTTTTTGTTGTTTAGTCGTTTAGTCGTGTCCGACTCTTCGTGACCCCATGGACCAGAGCACGCCAGGCACTCCTGTCTTCCACCGCCTCCCGCAGTTTGGTCAGGCTCATGTTGGTAGCTTCAAGAACACTATCCAACCATCTCATCCTCTGTCGTCCCCTTCTCCTTGTGCCCTCCATCTTTCCCAACATCAGGGTCTTTTCCAGGGAGTCTTCTCTTCTCATGAGGTGGCCAAAGTATTGGAGCCTCAACTTCACGATCTGTCCTTCCAGTGAGCACTCAGGTCTGATTTCCTTAAGAATGGATGCGTTTGATCTTCTTGCAGTCCATGGGACTCTCAAGAGTCTCCTCCAGCACCATAATTCAAAAGCATCAATTCTTCGGCGATCAGCCTTCTTTATGGTCCAGCTCTCACTTCCATACATCACTACTGGGAAAACCATGGCTTTAACTATACGGACCTTTGTTGGTAAGGTGATGTCTCTACTTTTTAAGATGTTGCCTAGATTTGCCATCGCCTTTCTCCCAAGCAGCAGGCGTCTTTTAATTTCGTGACTGCTGTCACCATCTGCAGTGATCATGGAGCCCAAGAAAATAAAATCTCTCACTGCCTCCATTTCTTCCCCTTCTATTTGCCAGGAGGTGATGGGACCAGTGGCCATGATCTTCGTTTTTTTGATGTTGAGCTTCAGACCATATTTTGCGCTCTCCTCTTTCACCCTCATTAAAAGGTTCTTTAATTCCTCCTCACTTTCTGCCATCAAGGTTGTGTCATCTGCATATCTGAGGTTGTTGATATTTCTTCCGGCGATCTTAATTCCGGCTTGGGATTCATCCAGCCCAGCCTTTCGCATGATGAATTCTGCATATAAGTTAAATAAGCAGGGGGACAATATACAGCCTTGTCGTACTCCTTTCCCAATTTTGAACCAATCAGTTGTTCCATATCAAGTTCTAACTGTAGCTTCTTGTCCCACATAGAGATTTCTCAGGAGACAGATGAGGTGATAAGGCACTCCCATTTCTTTAAGAACTTGCCATAGTTTGCTGTGGTCGACACAGTCAAAGGCTTTTGCATAATCAATGAAGCAGAAGTAGATGTCTTTCTGGAACTCTCTAGCTTTCTCCATAATCCAGCGCATGTTTGCAATTTGGTCTCTGGTTCCTCTGCCTCTTCTAAATCCAGCTTGCACTTCTGGGAGTTCTCGGTCCACATACTGCTTAAGCCTGCCTTGTAGAATTTTAAGCATAACCTTGCTAGCGTGTGAAATGAGTGCAATTGTGCGGTAGTTGGAGCATTCTTTGGCACTTCCCTTCTTTGGGATTGGGATGTAGACTGATCTTCTCCAATCTTCTGGCCACTGCTGAGTTTTCCAAATTTGCTGGCATATTGAGTGTAGCACCTTAACAGCATCATCTTTTAAAATTTTAAATAGTTCAGCTGGAATATCATCACTTCCACTGGCCTTGTTATTAGCGATGCTTTCTAAGGCCCATTTGACTTCACTTTCCAGGATGTCTGGCTCAAGGTCAGCAACCACACTACCTGGGGTATACGTTTTAACTCTTTAAAGTATAGTTTTAACTCTTCCCAACTACTTTTGTATCATTTTCTTCCTATATTTTCATGTTTTAAAATGTATTTGAAGATTGTTGTACACCCCCTTGATGTTGGTAGTAGTACAGAAGTTTTAATCAAACTGCAATTTTTGAGGGGAAACAAATATCCAGAGATTGCATGAATGGATACACCTGCATGTGCCTAAAGAGATCCTTAAATTCCAACCTTGCAGGACCATCCTATGGATGTTTACTTATGCGTGTCATGCTGGTTATTCCTACTCTCTCCTTGGTTACAGAATAATAATAATAATAATAATAATAATAATAATAATAATAATAATAATTTTTATTTATACCCCACCCATCTGGCTGGGTATCCCAGCCACTCTGGCAGCTTCCCCAGCCACACATAGTTGTCATTTTTCTATCTCCTGCTAGGGGTGGTTTGGTCTAAAGAATCTATCATGAAAGGACTTGGACTAAAAGTCCAAGTATCTGATTCTACCACCAACTTTAGAGTCATATCTTTTCATCAGATTTATAGAACATGGGCATCCGGGTGGTATTCAACTCAGTTTTAGTCAACTGAATACTCAAATGCCATTAATTTCAATAGGTCTACTCTGAGTAAAACTTAAGATGAATTACCCCCCCCCCCCAGTTTTGAATGTATGTATTCAGGAATTTCCTTTCCTTTAAACCATTCAATTAAATTTTAAAAAATAGTAGATCTATTTACTTACCTTCTTCTGGCATCTCTTCCACTTTTATATCTGACGCTGCCTCTGTGGACGCACGTTTCAGTAAAACACTTCTGTAGACCTATAGCACATGGAAAAATGCAGGTTTTGGAATTGCTGGTAAATTGAAAGAAAAGGTTTACAATTTCTCAAAAGTGCAGGTAATATTTAGGTAACAAATGTATTATCTTTACTAAATGCCTTAACAAAATGTTTGTAGCTTGAGAACATACTTACATGGCTATTTGCTTGTGGCTGGTTTCTATAGCATTTCATTATGTCCTGAAACGTTCTTTCATCTTTGGATACCTGAACAGAAGAAGAAGAAGAGTTTGGATTTGATATCCCGCTTTTATCACTACCTGAAGGAGTCTCAAAGCGGCTAACATTCTCCTTTCCCTTCCTCCCCCACAACAAACACTCTGTGAGGTGAGTGGGGCTCAGAGACTTCAAGAAGTGTGACTAGCCCAGGGTCACCCAGCAGCTGCATGTGGAGGAGCGGAGACGCGAACCCGGTTCCCCAGATTACGAATCTACCGCTCTTACCCACTACACCACACTGGCTCTACAGAACATTGCCAAACCCATTACACAATAAAATCATTCCTGTAGACATGCATGGATTTGAAGGGTTGGGAGAGCGCTTCTACATGCGTAAGTGAGCTTCCAATGACTTCTCCTGCAGCTCTTTGTGAGGCTTGACAACTCAATAAATCTTTAGGAGATGAGTAGGCAAACTAAGGCCTGGGGGCTGGATCTGGCCCAATCGGCTTCTAAATCCGGCCCGCAGATGGTCCGGGAATCAGTGTGTTTTTACATGAGTAGAATGTGTGCTTTTATTTAAAATGCATCTCTGGGTTATTTGTGGGGCATAGGAATTCGTTCTTCTTTTTCTTCTTCCAAAATATAGTCCGTCCCCCCCAAAGGTCTGAGGGACAGTGGACCAGCCCCTTGCTAAAAAAGTTTGCTGACTGCTGCTTTAGGAGGAAATTCCCAACAGAGCATAAGGAGCTAGACCTTTGAGTTGAAAATAAGCCAGTGCTAGGGCATATGAATACATGATGACTGCATGTAGCCTAAACGAGGAGTCCGCCAGCAACAATCTTTATGGAGAAACACAAAACTGGTGGGATGCTGTGCACTTGAGGTTTCTCTTAGTTGCATGCCATATGGCTAAGTTTGTGGCTGACAGTAGGAACCGAAGTGTTCATAAATGCTTATGTTGTGAGCTGCCCTGAGATCTATAGATGAGGGAGAATTTAATAAATAACAATGATAAATAAATTACATGGTCGGAAGTAATTCTACGGGACCTCAAAGGAAGTAATAGGAGTCACTTTTTATTATCATTGTAAAATGGCACACTTTGAATTAATGTCTTTTGTTGCATACTCCCACTCGCATCATTTATAAAGATTGTGACAGCAAATATTGTTGGAGCTCACACCTAACTGAACACTAGTATTTAAATAAATTCCTTGCTCTTACCTTTGCTCAGCAACTGCTTTGGAAAGGGGATGCCCAGCAAATACTTCCCACTCTCCAGCTCCATAACTACAAGTATGGGGTAAATGGAGAAAGGGCTGTTTCCTACAGCTACTTGGTGCATTTCTGTTTCTAACTCACAAGGTACAATTGGTTAAATTCATACCTTCCTAATTCACTTGGCAGTTTGAAGAGCTCAAATAAGATAAACGTGAAATGACTATGTGTTGTTCCACACACTGAGAAATACTTAAATATTAGTTGGCATTTGCTTCAAGAGATTCTACAGAGGACTTGTGGTACAGGAAAGATTCTGAAAAGCACCTCTGGGGTGCTTGTATATAGCACATATAGCACCTCTGGGGAACACAAGGACAGCTTATCAAACTGCTACATAACACAGTTTTGAAGGCTCAGTATCAAAGCATCCAGGTTTTGCATGCAACAACTAATCCATGCTGTGATAGAGAGCAGGCCGCAATATGTTCTTATTTGATTGACACAAAGGGAAATTACTAATATTAAGAATTTGGGATGGAAAAAACACAGAATCGTCAGGTTTGTATTTGAACAACTTATATATCACTAAACAGGCAGCTGGAATGGTGATATGAAAGTCATGCCAGAATATAACATAAATCAGTACTGCATTCTGAACAGAATGCCTTACCTTTGCCATGATGAACAAAGCACAAATTAGGAGCTGATCCAAGTGCCTATCTTTCATTAGATCTGTACAATGAACCAATGTGAATTCGAAACATGTCCATATCTTCCTGCGCAAATCATTGGAAACATCCAGTTTTATGCACAGATCACGCAACCGCACACTTGCCAGATGATACACCTAAAATGAATTACCATGTAACACTAAGTGAATTTAACAGGTTTTTTTTTGGAATGTTAGGAATATGAGCGGAGGGACAAACAAGGAATAGGAATGTGAGGAAATGGAAGTGTACACTATTTTCATTTCAGGCAATTTTGCTCTTTAATACAGACTTTATGTTTTAGGAGATGTTTGAAACAGTGGTATGCACATTTCTCCTGCCTTGTTCAAAATGCTGTGGCCCACCATAAATGCTCCCCTTTAAAGCCACTCCCCATCTTGGCCCAAAGGCTTCTAACGCTAGCATATAAATACAAGGTGTCTCTTTCCCAATGTGTCTGGCATATGCATTTTCCCTTACACGCATTTTAATTGATTTTCATGCTCTACTGTAGGCTCATTGCTTAGTTATATCCCATCTCCATTTAGATGATTAAAAACATTTCATCTTTATCCCCTAGGGGCGATTTATTCCAAAACAGATGCTCTCCAGCTTCTGTTGGTTCTCCCCCCCCCCCCGGGGTCAGTGCTTCCATTCACACAAGTGGAACTTTAGATCCAAGCCAGCATGTTGTGACTTGGAGTAAATCTATTTTGTACAATGTTGCAACGTAAATCCTGCTGGCTTTAATGTAGAATATTTTGTTAGGGCTATTACTACGAAGCATTATTTTGTGGCGGGGGGGGGGGGCGTTAGAAACTTTAGCAAAAAATATCTTCTAGAAACACTTTTTACCTTTCTGAAAAATAGTGCAAGAGATCCAGTTTTCTTTGGCCTGCTTCCAGCTGGCTGATATGCCTCTTGTGCTTGAGTCATATGATGACTTGGAGACACACTGATTAAAGCTTGAGCAGTGAGTGGGGCTTGTCCAAGGCTGTCCGCTTTAGATTCTTCAGATAAGTTGACTGAAATCGGTATCAAAGTGATCCCTCCAGTATTATTTGCAATACCTAGGGTATATCCACAAGTTACAATTTATGTATTTACAACACACTTGGAAAAGTTAATTGCAAACAGAAAAATTATTTAAAAACTTGTTATATAAGTGTATTGATGTGCATGTTATTTACTCATCAATATAGCTATACCATAGTTTATTTCCCATAATAGTTAAAAGGCATTCAGTGAACCAAAAATGTTTATAGCCAAAAGTTTCACATTTATTACTCTTCTCCAAGATTACCAACATTATAAGCTAAATTATAAATTGCAATATATATTCAACTTACCATGCAGTGTAATTTTTTGTCCTGTTACTGTAGCTGTTGTCATTGCAAGAACCGTCTGCTCAGTTGAAACAGGCACATTTTCATCAACAAAGCTTGACACGGGGGCAATTTTCAACCTAGTCCCTTCAGTCAAATTTTTTTCTGCAGGTTTTTCTTTTGGGCTTTCATCTCCAAAAAGTCTCCTCTTAGCACTTCCTGCCACAGGAGAACTATAGCGATCATGAACAGAAATGGGAGACAATGGTTGCATATCTAAAATGAAAGAGGGGACAATGTGTCACAACAAAATGCAAGTGATCACAGAGAGGTTAACTTTATCATTTCAGTAATTAAATTTTGAGGCGCAGAATAGTCATGCACCAATACTACATTTTCATAATTTCTAAACAATCTCTATCGATTTAAGTTCCTCTTTGCACAAAAATTCTTTCCCAGAGTCTAAACAACAAGGTCACATTTACCACTGAATGGATTTTTTCATTTGTCACAAGCCATACGTCAATAAAGAAAATAATAAAGCTTAGCAATATACAGATCAGCAAGCCCTAGGCTCTGTGGTTTAACCCACAGCGCCACCCGCGTCCCAGATATATGTATAGGTAAAGGTAAAGGTACCCCTGCCCGTACGGGCCAGTCGCGTCCAACTCTAGGGTTGTGCGCCCATCTCACTTAAGAGGCCGGGGGCCAGCGCTTTCCGGAGACACTTCCGGGTCACGTGGCCAGCGTGACGAAGCTGCTCTGGCGAGCCAGCACCAGCGCAGCACACGGAAACACAGTTTACCTTCCCGCTATAAAGCGGTACCTATTTATCTACTTGCACTTAGGGGTGCTTTCGAACTGCTAGGTGGGCAGGAGCTGGGACCGAACAACGGGAGCTCACCCCGCCGCGGGGATTCAAACCGCCGACCATACGATCGGCAAGTCCTAGACACTGAGGTTTTACCCACAGCGCCACCCGCGTATATGTATAGTGGCAGTTAAATAATTTTGAAGGAAGGAAAGGTTTTCAGAAAGAAAAACATTGAAATGCTTTTCTTCTAGCTTTTAACTAAAACCCAGATGACCAATTCTAATTGACTACCTGGACAATGAGACACTTTTAAATACAAGGTATTTCACACAGAGAAAACAGTAGTAAGATATTGAGGAAAAGGCGAGAGAGATGATGAGCTTACCCCGTCTAAGACTTTCCCCAAGATTTGTCCGAACCTCTTTGACTCGAGGATGTACTATAGGAGATACTGGCATCATGGGAAGATGTCCCAGTCCTCTTCCTCCATTCCCTGTTTCAAAATTACATGGAAATATTACCTGGGAAGGAAAATGTGACAATTTTGAAGAGGTAGGAATAATACTGTTTTGCTGTCTATTATACAAATATTTATTTAATGGGGAACTGAGTAGTTCACCACAAATTTCCCTCCTTGATTTAAGGGGTGAGGGATATGACTTAAATTACTCCCATGTGTTCAACTTTAATTATTTGGCTGTCAACATACTTCTTCACAGGTAGGGACCTTGTTTTCTGATGCTTGGAGGGCATCCCACAGAGCAGAATCTTTTGTCCAGGCTAGGCTTTCAAGAATCTGTTCCTCAATGCTGTTGAGATGTTTTACCATATCTCTAGAGAGTCCTTCTTCTGATCGAATCAATATTTCAATCACCTTGAATGAAAAGAGTATTTTGGTCACAGACACACAGTAAAAATCTACTTCACTAACCATTTTCACTGCCTCACATTAATAATTGTATATCCAAAGCATTTTCCCTACAGCTCGTTTCATCTGGCGTTTTGGAGGCTCTCCTGTATTCTTTCAGCATTTTTCTCCAAAGTCTTCAAATTTCTCTCAGCCACACCAAAAATTTCCATAAAAACTGAATTGCTTTCAGACTCTTTTAGTCCAGCAGTTTTTAATTTTGGAATTTCATATATGAACTGCCCTGAGATCTAAGGGTATAGGGAGGTATACAAATTTAATAAATAATACAATCCCAAACATTTTGGATATGATGATGATGATTATTAACAGTGAGACAGACATTAAAAACTTCCTGATACAAGGATGCCTTCAAAAAGTTGTGAAATTGTTTATTTCTTTGACATCTGACAGAAAGGCATTCTACAGGGCGGGAGTCACTACCGAGAAGGCCCTCTGCCTGGTTCCCTGTACCTTCACTTCTCTACAGTGAAGGAAACACCAGAAGGCCCTCAGAACTGGACCTCAGTGTCTTGTCTGAATGATGAGGGTAAAGATGTTCCTTCAGGTATACAAGGACGAGGCTATTTAGGGCTTTAAAGGTCAGAACCAATACTTTGAATTGTGCTTGGAAACATGCTGGGAGCCAATGTAGATCTTTTCAGACCGGTGTTATATGGTCTCAGCAGCCGCTCCCAGTCACCAATCTAGCAGTCCCATTCTGGATTAGTTGTAGTTTCCGAGTCACCTTCAAAGGAAGCCCCACATAGTACATTACACAGTACCCAAGAAAATTACTTTACATAGAACATAAACACTCATCAGCGTACAAAATTTTAACCTAACAAAAGATAGTAACTGACTGGCATTATTATCTAGCTGTCATTTCTGTCAGAAGTCAGAAGGAAGGATTTACCAAATTGCAAACCAACTTTAATTCAGGTAGGCCTTCTTTTACTAGTCTTCCTAACTCCTTCCTTCAACCCTTCGTTGGATGGCATCTCCACCTTACAAACTAGTATGGAAGCTAAACAATTTCATCACTAACATACAAGCTCTATATTTGTTTCATAAGACAGAAGTTAGACCTAACTTTGACCAATACTAAATGCCTGGGCCACTAACACATTACATTTTTATGTGTGCATCAAGAGACTTCAAGTGTACATCCAAATCTGTTCAGTATGCATGCAACAATCTTGCACTGCCAAGGCACTGTGACTGACCACTACTGTTCCTATCAAGCATGCATAATCTGTGAAACAGCCCTTTGACAACTTAATATACAATACATGAAGCCAGTGCTTTGCTTGTGCTTTACCTTATAAAAATAGAATGGCCTGAGATTAAGAATTTCAATGATCCAGGGGAAAGTTCGTGGTGAACTATATGCAAACAGCACTATCTCCAAACAACATGCCAGCAAGGAACGGTGGAAAATATCTTGCTCTAAAAGGGCCTAGAAGGAAAAAGCAGAATGTTTAACCTCTCGGTCATATAACAAATTTTAATTCAGCATGCTTTTTAAACCCTGCCAATCAAACTTGAGATACTCCTCAAGCTGTTTTGTCAGGAGGAGTTGAGACTTAGTTATATGGAAGGTGCTCAAACACTAGAGAATTCAAAGCGGACATTAGCACAGCCCTATGCCTAATAGTCCTGTTCTGCTTCTGATTTCTCTCTTTTTAGAAGTTCTGTCAATTATTCTACTTCAAAAAAGAGATTTCATATAGTAAGAACCTAAGTGAAGTATAACAGGCAAGCATTCATTTCAAGTTTTACTGGTGGTAACAACACATTTCTTCAGAATTACCACTGGTTATATTTTTAAGAGCAGATTCTGTAGGTGATAGAGACATGGGTTTTTGAAGTTCCAAACACAGCACTGAATTATTCAGTCTTATAAAATCCTGCTGCAGTAATAATAAACTAATACTTATATAAAATGAAGCTTCTAATAAATCGATTAACAGAGTATCTTCACCCTAAAAAGCTAACATAGGTGAGACCAGTTTTGTCTCTGGGCAAGGACTGAGGAAGAGAGATAGCTGCCTCAGTTTGGAAGGTACTATCATCTGAACAGCACATAAGTGAACTAATTAGAAGGGAAGTAGTACAAGGGAAGGTTGAGCACATTTAAGTTACCTTATACAGAACCAGTTCATTAAGATCATAATAGCCCTGCTGGATCAGGTGAAAAGCCCATCTAGTCCAATACTCTTGCTCTTGCATTGGTCCACCTAGCTAATTATTGCCTACTTTAACTAGAGAGCTCTCTAAAGTCCCAAGAAGAGTTCTTTCCTAACAACTTTTACCTTGAAATTCTGGAAACTGTACCTAGGAACTTCTGAATGCAAACTATCACTGAACCCCTCAAGCAATCTTCAGAATGAGAGAAAAAGCCTGAAAATTCTGATCCTTGGATTTAGCTCACCAAAATAGGCTTTCCATACTGCACCCCACCCCCAAGTCGGTTTACTTACAGACATGTCTTTGCCATGTAGCCTCCGCATTTCTTGTACCATTATGGTTTCCAAGATTTTATAATAAAGGATTTCTGCCAATTTTAACCGGTTAACAGCAAAATCTGCAATTTAAACAGAAAGTGTTTACATTTTTTACAGTTTAATTGTATTTTATACTTCTATAGTAAGACCCAAAAGTTTGTGACTTCGTATTGATGAAGAAACCATCAAATGGCTCAGGCTGCAATCCTGTGAGTAAGAGTAATGCAGTAGGGGGCTTACTTTATAGTGATCATGCATGGGATGGCACGGTAAATGCAACAGACCAGGCTTCCTCAAACTCGGCCCTCCAGATGTTTTGGGCCTACAACTCCCATGATCCCTAGCTAGCAGGACCAGTGGTCAGGGATGGTGGGAATTCTAGTCTCAAAACATCTGGAGGACCAAGTTTGAGGAAGCCTGCAACAGACAATCCATGCTAGCTACAAGTAGGACCTGAAACAAAATGTTGCAGTGTGGAGTGCTCCCTGTTCAGAATCGCAGCCATTCTATCCTATTCCCTGTCCTCCTAGCTTTCCATTCCCTCACCTAACTGACAGCCAGACAACCAGACAACATTCCTTGGTCATTTCAGGCCTCTCTGGAATGTAGGGAGAGGGAGCATTTGAAGAGTTTTCTATATTTCTGCAAACCTTTGGGTTCCCATAAGACTGCTGATAACTGTTTTGTATGGGTAGTCTTTATAGCTACCTAAGGAACAGCACTCTTTCCCTAAAGATGGAAATTAGTACAGTATATTAAAATAGCTACATGAAGTATTCCCAACATGCCATTTACACAAAGAACTGAAAGTTGTCTTTTTGTTACCTTTGGCTTTGAAACATATGAAATTTAAAATAATATTAATAATATAATAATTTATTATTTGTACCCTGCCCATCTGGCTGGGTTTCTCCAGCCATTCTGGGCGGCTTCCAACAAAGATTAAAAATACATTAAAATGTCACACATTAAAAACTTCCCTGAATATGTAATTGTTATTTCCATTCCTACCTATGTGAGATCCTGGCTGATCATCAGTTGACTGTGTATAGTTCTGACAGAAAACTTCCCCTATCTCTTTCACTCTGTTCATGATCATTTCCACAGGATTTTGTATACAAGACCTATAGTATAAAACCAATAAATTAACATAATATATGAAATGTTATGTAATTATCTTTCGACAGAAAGGCTTCCACTTGCCACATTCTTTTGTAATTAACGCCTTCACTTTACTGCATTTTAAACTAGAATACATTGGCTGCATTTGCACATAATGTTACATTTTAACAATGGTTTGCTCAACAAAGCATGAGTTGTCTAACAGACATGCAAAAGAATCATGACTTGTTTCTTCAAAGATAGGTTTGTTCCCCAGATTAGTTTTCCAGCTGCTCTTGTAACCTGATGAATGTCAGGGGTGGGATGTCCAAATAAACCATGGTTAAACAAAGCTATTGGGTTCACACATAACATCAAACCATACTAGAAACAAGTGATGTCTTGTAAGCCAACTACAAGCTATGACTTTACACTGTGGTTTGCTGTCATATCTTAGCATTATGTGTGAACCAAACTGTTATGAAAGGCTTAGTCTACAGAAAGTGAAGGATTAGACTTATAGATTTGATGTTGTTTATTTATTTATTTATTTAGCTTAAAATTATTTATTCCATTCCCCATTTGGATGTGCAACATTGCCTTACTTCAGCCATTCCCCACAACAACTTAACAATTGTCTATTCAAAACAAGGAGTGACTGAACATTTTGAAGTATAACTAACTTCCCAAATGATCATTGCCTTATAATAATCTTAGCACAAAATAAGTAGAAAAAGAATGCCCTAAATTTAGTAAACCACTTCCCAAAACAGAGCTCTATAGTTCTGGAATTCCATTTCCATCTGACTTCTTCTTGCTGTAAGAGAACTGAGCCTACTAACCCCCACCCCTGAATACCCAAGGCTGGGAAGCCATAAAGTTCAGTTCCTATAGAACGAACACCTACTGCTGCCATGACTAGCTGGAAGATTGTTGGATAAGGTGAGAGTATGATCAGTTTTAATTTTTAACTGCATTATTTATAGTAAAGGTAAAGGTACCCCTGACCTTTAGGTCCAGTCATGGACGACTCTGGGGTTGCGGCACTTATCTCGCTCTGAAGGCTGAGAGAGCCGGCATTTGTCCGCAGACAGCTTCCGGGTCATGTGGCCAGCATGACTAAGCTGCTTCTGGTGAACCAGAGCAGCGCACGGAAACACTGTTTACCTTCCCACTAGAGCGGTACCTATTTATCTACTTGCACTTTTGACGTGCTATCGAACTGCTAGGTGGGCAGGAGCTGGGACCAAACAATGGGAGCTCACCCCGTTGTGGGGATTCGAACCGCCGACCTGCTGATCAGCAAGCCCTAGGCTCTGTGGTTTAGACCACCGCGCCACCCGCGTCCCGGCATTACTTATACACTTACTGTATTTCAAATCAGTTCACACAACTTCAAGGAACCAAAAAGAAAGAAGCAACTTAATGAATTACTAACTGGAAGTCATTATGTTTCCCAGTCATGATTCAAAGAGCTTCTATAGTTTGATCCCCCCCTCTCTTCTTAAATAGAAATCCGCATGCCATATTGCTAGCAGTTTTTTGACAGTTCCTAAAATTTCAAGAAGTGTTTTGCCATGTAATATTGGAGTTGTAATCCAGGAAAGACAATATGTTTCTTTGGATCCAGTCCCCAGATTATGATTAGATCATGTGATAAAAACCAGAATGGGGAAAGACCTACAGATCTGAGAGAAAGAAAAGGAGTATCCACTTACTCAAAAATAGCTATAAGCTGTTCACTAGGTGCATTTTTTAGCCCTGCTACAATGCTTTGTAACCGGCTTACACTCTGTGTTGCGGAAGCAACAGGAGTAATTACTTGCTCCTTCTCTCTAAGGTATCTCCTGCCAGTCAATGGAGTTGAGGGTGTGAAGGATCTTTTCTACCAAGTCAAAGAGAAACATCTTTCAATTGTTTTGGCCCATGGTTAACTTCACAAATACCATCAAACTTTAGATAACAGCCGCAGAACATGACACAACAAAAACATACCCAAAATAACAATCCCTGACCATTCAGAATTGAACTGTATGTTACACTTCTTCTTTTTTAGACTATGGGTTGTATTCACGGACAGGTGGGCTAGCCCCACTCTCCTATCAAAATGGCTTGCTTATAGAGTGGTGGAACCACTCTAGGATCAGGTCCACTGGTCAGAGTCAGTTCCCCACCCGTGGCACGCTCTGGTTTGGCTTACTGTACTGTATGAACAAGGCCACTGCATTGGTGTTCTCCCCCAATCTGCCAATAAGTTATTTAGATCTTGCATTAATCACGTCTTAATTTTTTAAAAGAAGTTTGTAAAGATGAAACCATTTCTCTCTATTTTGTAACACCTGTTTACTTTCTGCAAGCAGCATACCGTAGTCAGGAAAACCAATTAATTACCATGTCCTTCTGAAAAGTGTTGGTATTTATTTCTCAATGGATATGTGGACAAATCACCTTTTAAAATGTGTTTTTAAAAACAGAGTTTGGATCTGTTACACTGTATGTACCTTATACGTATAATTCTTTCATACATATGAGCCTGCCTAAGCATTAAGATAAGTTACAGAGGCCCTGCTTTTTGGCCTGTAGATGAGCGCTGTTAGGCACATGGATACAGTGGTACCTCAGGTTAAGTACTTAATTCGTTCCGGAGGGCCGTTCTTAACCTGAAGCTGTTCTTAACCTGAAGCACCACTTTAGCTAATGGGGCCTCCTGCTGCTGCCGCCGGAGCACGATTTCTGTTCTCATCCTGAACCAAAGTTCTTAACCTGAAGCACTATTTCTGGATTAGCAGAGTCTGTAACCTGATGCGTATGTAACCTGAGGTACCACTGTACTAAGAAAAGTGCTCTCTCACTGGTGGCACCACATGTTTGGAACTCTCTCTCTAGGGACATATGAATGTCCTCGTCACTGCTCATTAAAGAACAAGCAACAACTATGAATATATTTTTATTCCAGTTTGTTTTTGATTGAGTTGTGCTGGGGACTTATTTTTTTCAGGAGGTTCCAATTTTTGTAATCTATGGTTAAAATTTTGGAATTGTAATTATTTTATGTGTTTTATTATAATCTTGCAAACTGTATTGTGAGGGCAGTGTCCCCTGAAAAGGCATTAAAAATGTACATAAATAACTTACTATTGCTTTTTATGTACAGAGTTCAAGACATGTTGTCTTAAAATACCTCATCCACTTTTCTTGCTGGAGGATACGAAAGCAAGCACACTTCTGTAAGACAACTAACATTACCTTCTCAAAATGCTGTTGAAGGTAACACTCTACATGAGCTCTTGTCATCACCTTGCCAGATGGCACATCAGTAGAAAACTTCCGAGGAGTTCCAATTTCTTCTTCTGCATCTTCTCCCAAGAAAACTCTCTCATCAAAGTCTCCTTCTGTCAGAACATATTCTTCATATTCTTTATTCAACGCTTTGCTGGAAGACAATATACACTATTATGAATTAATGTTAAAAGAAATAAAACTGGTAAGATTTTATATTTTACCCATTGCTATACACACATGCTCTCAGTGCTCCCCTACTCTTCTACCTATGGTTTTCTAGTTTCTACAAGTTGATTTTTTTTTTAAGCCAACTGTTGGGATAGAATGGAAAAAGGAAGCACTAGCAATTAGGGGGTCTGAAAAAGCCTTTAAAAATGTTTTACATCATTATTTTCATAAAATTTATATACCACTTGATTTTTTTAAAAAAACCGAAACTCAAAGCGGTTTACCAAAAGTAAAACAGTAAATCAAGAAAAAAAATACAGCAGTACTTTAAAGCATACAAAAAAAGTACTAAACTTTCTAAGCATCTGGGTAAAGGTAAAGGGACCCCTGACCATTAGGTCCAGTCGCGGACGACTCTGGGGTTGTGGCACTCTTCTCGCTTTATTGGCCAAGAGAGCTGGTGTACAGCTTCCGGGTCATGTCGCCAGCATGACTAAGCCACTTCTGGCAAACCAGAGCAGTGCACGGAAATGCCATTTACCTTCCCGCCAGAGCGGTACCTATTTATCTACTTGCACTTTGACGTGTTTTCGAACTGCTAGGTTGGCAGGAGCAGGGACCGAGCAACAGGAGCTCACCCAGTCACGGGGATTCGAACCACGACCTTCTGTTCGGCAAGCCCTAGGCTCTGTGGTTGTGGTTTAACCCACAGCACCATCCGCGTCTCTAAACAGGAATGTTGTTAGCAGGTGCTGAAAAGAGTATTGTCGTAACTCGAACAGAATCCGTTCCGGAAGTCCGTTCGACTTCTGAAACATTCGAAAACCAAAGCATGGCTTCTGATTGGCTGCTCCGTCAGATGTTTGGCTTCCAAAAGAACATTCGAAAACTGGAACACTCACTTTCAGTTTTCAATTGTTTGGGAGCCGGAACGTTAGGCTCCCAAGGCATTTAGGAGCCGAGGTACGACTGTATAGTGAAGGTGCCTGTTTAGGCACTGCCACACTATACGATCAAGTTCTTGTTACTTGATTCAAATCTGGTAGCACCAACAAGACCCAAACAAATGTGCTTGGACATTGCAAATTGTTTCACATCCCTATAATTTTAAATAGCAGAGCCTATAAAACAAGTCTTTGCTTTAAACAAGAAATCCACTAATGAAGTTCAACTCCTGACTCAACGGTCAAGGGAAGGGCCATAGCTCATTGATCTAGCACCTGCTCTGCAGGCAGAAGGTCATAAATTTAATCCCTGGCATCTTCCAGGTAGGGCTGGAACAGATTCCTATCTGAAACCCTGGAGAGCCGCTGCTAGTCAGTGTAGACAACACTAAGCTGAAAATACCAATGGCAGCTTTTTATGCTTGCATGCCATAGTAAGCAGCAAACCATGGCTTACCATGACTCTAGTAATTTAGCTCTATTCTGGGGCAAACCCTTGGTTTACTGTTAACAAGCATATGCATATAACTCAGTTTCTCCCACTTTGCTCCAGCCTGCCTGAAGCTAGGAGAAACAAACCATATATGCTGGTTCTCATGTAACACAAGTCCAAGTCTCATGATTTGTTTCTCCTGCTGCAAGTAGGCAAAGTGAAGGAGGAGGGACTGGGCCGTGTGCATTAGGGTTGTGCTTGTTCAAAGTAAACCAAAGATTTGCCCCAAAACCAAGTTAATTTACCAGAGCTGGAGACTGCAAAATGAAGCAGTTTCCTAAATCCACATGCCTAGATTGTGCAGGAAAACAAGATAATGCCCTTCAGGATCTTGTGTAGAAATACTCCAGAATAGGAATGCACAGTATTTTAAAATCCATTGTGCATTTATTGCCATAGCTTGCAATTCATTATTAGTAATACCATCAGATGGCAGAAGAGCCATTTCCAAAATGTTCTATCACCAGATTCACATACTGAAATAAAAGCATTCAGGTAATTTTTGAATGCGGAACTTACTTGTTGTCTGCAAAGTTACTACAATCCAAAAGACAGTCTCCTTTTAAAATCTAAATGAAAAAAAAACAAAAAAGAGAAAAGCAGTTCAAATAATAAATAAAACAAGAACAAGCAAGTCAGTCTCTGACATCACAGCTGCGTAACATCAGTTCAAGTGGCTCTGACACTTACGCATTATTTAGTCAGAACCAAAGAAAGACCACCCAGAAATGTTCTCCCCTATTTATATCAAAGATAAATATGTGTTTAAAGCAGGCTTGAAGTTTTTATTAAAAAGAAACAAAAAATTTCCAAAAGAACACTTCTGCCAATCATCAGTCCTTTATAACCTACTCAATAATTAACAATGACTTTTGAGTGTATACCTCTCTATCACAGAGCTTCGAGATATATGGTTTAAAGTAGTGTTCCTTTATGGTCTTGGCTTCTACCAAAAGACCATCATGTAATTCACATAGTGTGGCAATAATACATGGAGGCCCTTCGGAAGTCCTGACATCAGCTGTATGGAAGTCTTCTGGCAAACCTTAACCAAAAGGAAAAAAGTAAGTGTCTGTGATGAATTAGAAACTAATTTCAAGACTTGTACACAAAAAAAAAAATTGCATTGGGGGCAATCTTCATACCTTTAAAAGATGAATTCAATAGATCTCTCTTATGTGGACACAGAAGTGCATTTGCAAAAACCAGATCCAAACAGCACAGAAGCAAATGGTATGAGTTCACTAAATCACCTCCAATCATATTGAAATTCCCTTTGGAACAAACCACATAAACACAATTAAGATCATATAACCCTTCAATTGAATATAGGGAATCAAGTTAAATCATGACTTACCTTTTGTGTAAACAAATAACGTCCAACAAAAGTTGAATAGGTCTTTAACATTGCAGGGCACCCGTCTACAGAAATAAAAGTCAAGGTTAAGTTCTAGAAAACTGTTCTTCCAAAAACTGTTCTTTGAAGATATGCAGCTAGAGCATTAACTTGAATGTAATTAGCAACTACCATAAACTGCAGTAGGGTGGCACTGTGGGTAAAACCTCAGTGCCTAGGACTTGCCGATCGTATGGTCGGCGGTTTGAATCCCCGCGGCGGGGTGAGCTCCCGTCGTTCGGTCCCAGCTCCTGCCCACCTAGCAGTTCGAAAGCACCCCTAAGTGCAAGTAGATAAATAGGTACCACTTTATAGCGGGAAGGTAAACGGCGTTTCCGTGCGCTGCGCTGGTGCTGGCTCGCCAGAGCAGCTTCATCACGCTGGCCACGTCACCCAGAAGTGTCTTCGGACAGCGCTGGCTCCCGACCTCTTAAGCGAGATGAGCACGCAACCCCAGAGTCGGTCACGACTGGCCCGTACGGGCAGGGGTACCTTTACCTTTTTTATAAACTGCAGTAGCAATTTTAAACTTGAGTGGTACAATGGATTCCTCCATTAGCCATACTTCCATTTGTCATGTTCAATAACCCTTCCAGCACTATCACCATCCCACTGACTACCTAGTTCTTTTGTAGTCCAAACTACACTATTTTGCAGAATGCTTCTTGTGCTTATCTCAAGTTGGGCACCACAGGAATTGTATTACATCAGCCTTCACCAATCTGGTACTGGCTGCAGATGATGGAAGTTATAGTCCAAAACATCTAGAGGGCACCAAACTGGCAATGGCTGGATTACAATTAGCTTCATTATATTATTATTAATTATTATTATTATTATTTTACACAATATATAATTCAAAATACCCCAGCATTTCAGTAGTACCTGTGTTTCCTGCTTCTTTGTAGCTTTGGTTGTTCTTCATCAGGATTTTTAAATATGACCAGGAATATTGGCTTAAACTTCTTGAAAATCACTGCTGACACTTCAAAGTTCCTCTCCAGTCTCTCCACTCGCTCCCGAAACTCCTGAGGCATATTTGACATGTCCATCCACTTTTTCATTTTACTAAAAAACTGAATTAAACTTAAAAAAGAATGACATTGGATTGTAGTCTTTACTATAGTTCGTATCAGTATACAAGGTATGTACTTTACAGTTCTTGCGTTGTTGAAGAAGACCCACTTACACAAGCAAGAAAATCACTTGATTACAAAATGTTTACATGGCTCACAGTTGAATGTATGAGGTGACTTAATTGCAAAGTCCAGGTCTGAGATGTCATGAAGGTATATGAAGAAACTACATTAGCACTGCAATCATCAAGTACACATATATGTTTGAACTAGTGTTAGAATTATCCTTTGACATATGCTATGCTATTTAGTTTCTAACGCTAAAGGAGTTAGCCTAACTACGTTCAATCTGCAAGAATTTTCTGAAACCTCAAAGTACGCAACTGTGCAATTTGAAAATAAATTTCCAGTTTAAGTATTTAAGTATGCACAGACCCATTTTTTTAAAAAAATAGTAAATTATGAACTTACAAAGCATAAAATCATAAGCACACCAAATTATTTAATGTCTTCAGACTGAAAAAAGCTAAAAGCGGTATGGGCACTCACCCATTTATTTTTAAAAAAGTAATACCTTAGTTTTGCTGAGCGTAGTATCCTGGTGAGTGAGACACAGTTTCCTTCCCTCATGCCACTTCCTACAGTGGGGATAATACTCTTACGGCAAGCAACATAGAGAGCACAAGCCAACCAATGTACTGTTTCCCCCTGCAAAGATAAATAAACAATGGCCTTTTTAAGAGAACAATCCTCAGTTTATACTCTGAAATAAAGAATACAAAAAGATGCAGCTTCAGAAACGATTATTTAATTGACTATTCAGGGAGATAGAAAAATGTTTTTGATTCTTTTAAACTAAACTAACTACTAAATTTCTCTTAAAGAATAACTTGGTACCAACTCTGTTTGATGTACTTATTAGAAGATATAATAAAATAAGTAACGTCAAATTCTAATCAAAACAAGCACTATGAGTTGAATAGCTATTCGGAATTTGCATGAACTCTCAAGCAAGCTCTGACAAGCCCATATTCAATCATTTTCAAACTGTGTTCCAGGGTACTCTGGGATTGCTCACAGAGAAAGTTCTATGAAAAGCTTCTATGAAAGACAGCTTGTCCACTGCCACCAATCTTTTCTTGAGGTATGCTGTGCTCTGAGGTCCACTGAAATTCACCAACATCCCACATGACTGGACAATCATAAAAGTTTTCTAACTAGATTCTGAACACACACAGAATTCTCTGCATAACACAAAGCAGATGAAATGTTCCCTTAAAAAGACACCAAGTTTTAAAGTCACTGTCTTGGATGCAAGTCAAATATCTGCAAAGTTACCGAGCAACAGCATTATCCGTCATAGAATGTGTGCTGAGAAGTTATTTTCAGCTCCTGCTTCAATTTTTAGCATTAGAAATGAAAACATGGAAACGTGTCACTGAAGGAGAAGAAATATGGCACAACTTTTTATCTAACAAAGAGTTTTCAGGCCAGCCACGTTAGCTATCTTCTGCCATTGTCAAATGTCTAATGTCTATCGGTTATTAGCAAGGAGACAACACTTTGCTTTCAACTTGCAAAAAACTACCAAAATCCTAGAAACCTGACTCAGTCTTTCATCTCTTACATGTACAATATTAAATATATGAGCTCAACACTGAACTCCAAAGCTTTCAATCATGTACCTAACATACATTTTGACTGAGTGGTTAAGTGCTGGAATCAACTTGGGGGACGGGAAATTCTCGAGAAATCTCTCAGCAAATAAATAAGCATGAATGCTCAGTCAACAGGCAACATCCCATCCCCTCTCTGCAAACTTTGTGCAAAGCAATCAGCACGAATGCTCAACAAACAGGTTGCCTGGTAACAAGTCGGGGCCCAAGAGCAGGTGGCATTCTCCATGTCCGTAGTCCATCTTAAAAGGAAACATCCCGAGTCATTGCCCACAAGGTATGGGAGGCAAAAGTGTCCGGGGCACAACTCATCAGAACCTACAAAGCTCCTTAGAAGGCTATGATTATTTAAATACAGCTTAAGAACCCTTAATAATGCACTTTTAAGTGAAAGCTGAGCTGCATAGTAATGAATCCATTTTGGTGACGGGGACAACGAAAAATGGATGTAATCAATGAAGAAAGGAAAGTTTTGAAACCTTGCTTTCTCACTGGTACTTATTTACCGAAGACCTCGAGTTAATTTCTGGCTCTTGTGGGAGGCCCCCGTTTAAAAGGCCGTCGCCTGCTGTCAGGCAAGTTCGCGTGGAGGAGGAGGCTGGCGGCTGCCCCTCCGTTACCTGGAGTAAGCCAACAGTCTCAAGCGGCTCGGTCAGGAGTGCATGGAGGAGTGAAGCCGGCAGATGCAAGAGAGGGGTCGGCGCCGGTGGGGCGGGAGAGAGCAAGCAGTAAAGGGGGTCGGTGGGAGGGCAGCCTGCCAGGGGACCCACGAAGTCCGGAGCCCGGCCTGATGCTACTGAAAGCTCCCCAAAAGCCCTTCATAGTGGCCCACAGCCCAGGTGGGAGTCAGCCGCGTCGTCCCTTGAGGCGAATTAAAACCCTCACGCAGCCCGGCGCGCTGAGGCCACTGGAGGGCAGGTCGCGGGGAGACGTCTATTCACCAACCGACCGACCCACCCTCCCTCCGCAGGACAGGTTGGTTCCCACCTCCAGGCTGTAGGTGCCTCGCAGGGCCGTGAAATCCCGAAGGGCCTCGGCAGCGCTGCTGGCGTCCAAGTTGAGCTCCTGGCAGAGGTGGCCTATGGCGGCCCGGATAGGGCACTGGCTGTCGGCGGGGTCGTTGTCTTCCCCCGGCATGATGCTTCCCCCCGTCCCGCGAGACCCCTGCGTAAAAACAGGCCTCCCAACCGCCCACAATCCTTTGCGCCGAGCGCGCCAAAACGGCCTCAGCCACTCAGCGAGCGACGCTCGACTCGGGCTCCTCCCCCGCCCGGTGAAGCCTCTTTAAATATCTAGCGGCGTTTTCGCCATCGGTAGATTCGCAAACTTTTTCAATGGTCTTGCGCGTGCGCGTGCATGGGGCGGGGAATAAAATGCACTCTGATGTCCCAAATCCTACTGATAATTGGTCCCCCCGCTGAATTTTAAAAATGGATATTACATACACGCACACGAACAAAGGCGCAACAGACAGCCTTTGCATTGGAGTCAAGAGGAGGGAAAGGGCCAAGCGAGGGTGAGCTGCTCAGCTCCACGTTTTGCTAGCCTCCCTATCGGTTCTCCAGGGTATCTGTCCAAAGGACAGCAGGGTAAACAAACTCTTCCTCAGTAGTAGTTGTCACTTTTCCAGCTCAGGTTCAAAATAAATAAATAAACAAAAAACGCAATTATTTCCTCATAGCAACAGGAAATTCTTATATATCTGGAATGGCTTCCTGATAAAATCTTAAGCTTCCAGGTTGGGGGAGGTCAGCTCTGGACGCTCGAGCCACACTTCTCACGTCATAAACAGTAATAAACGGAGACGAGGAAGAGCTGCTATTTATTACCTAAGATGGTCACCCCACCCCTCTGTAGTTGTTATTTTTTTATAAGGCTACGTATACTTCGCTTTAGTAAAATTGTTCCTGTATACAGCATACTACTTCCCACGCTAACTCTGCCCTAACTTTTTGGACTTTTCTTTCTTTTTAAATGGCACTATCATGGCTATAAAAAAATGCTTTATAAGCAATGTTTGGTCCTTGTTCTCAAAGACTGTTTACAAATGAAAGAGGAAAAACTCTGGCTGATTAACCAAATCAAGCTTGAGGTAAGAAATAAGACAAACAAGGTGCGCGCATGCACACGCACATGCACACCAGGCGGTTGGTTTCAATTTATGCTTGAATATTTTTTCCCAGTTATCTAGATTAGGGTGAACCTACACTGAAAAGTAAGCCATTGGCTCAGACAGTCAAAGGAGACCACCCACTATCTCAGTCCAAGATACTTCTCAGATTGGAGCAGTGCTATGGAGCCAGTGTCACCAAGGTAAGCAATGTACAATTAGTGTTCAACATCACTTCCTCAAACTATCCAGAAGAACTTTTAACTTTCTTGGAAAATAGTGTGTAACGGATTTGTGAGCCATGTTAGTTACTGCATGATCTGCAACCGTGCAAGTTCTATTGACTATGCCAACTGAAGCCACTCATAGTACTCCACCATTTTAGGTTTTGGTGGCAAAAGGTTGTAGTGTTACCCTAGTCAGGTAGATAAAATAACTAGCGCTGCAAACATGTATTAACTTAAATTGATTAATTAATCAACAAATGAGTAAATTGCTCAGTTGTTGTGGGTTAATTCTAACTAATGAAGACAAATTTTAATCCAGTAGGCTCTGACAATTAAAGGTAAACATGGCTGAAGTATTCTCATTTTGGTGAAGAAATATGAAAAATTAAATAATACGAAAAGGAACAACAACAAAAAATTAACAGCCTCTCTTTCCAACAATTGGTAGCTTTTGTTTCTTTGACCATAGGTTGTCCCACATTTTCTTCAATATTTCAAAAACGTACCCTTGATTACATGTAGATTTAATTTTACCACTTAATCAATTTTTCTAAAAAGATGATCAAAAATACTTTAATCAACAGCTTTAAAAACAACCCATTGAGACAGCACACTTAGAACCCAGTTATCAGTCTTCTGAAATGTGTCATTAGCTGCTTGGCCTGGGGGCTCCTCAACATACTTTCTTTCTGCACTTTGGAAGGCAACTATTTTTTCTTCTGTTCTCTCCTTTAAATATACTTGAGAGACAGGACATTTGGCTCATCAGTTGACCGGACAATTCTATAGCTTGGGTGCTATGAATTAGGGCTGTATTGGGGGAAGGGGACAAGTAGGGTGGTTTCAGGATTTAAAAACTTATTATCAGGAATAGCAGTGCTTTTACACATTTGAAAAAGGAGGTAATTGTAATTGTTGAACTGAGATGCGAAGTAAATGTTCACATATCTCTGATAAATTATCATTCTGCTGTGATGGCAGGAAAAGATGTTCAGAATGTAGTCAGACCTCCTTTATACTTCTCCATTCAAATAAATCATTCAGTAATCAGGTGGTTTCTTAGTTGATACTGAATCTAGTTCAAGGCATAAAATAATGGGCTTCAGCTTCTGTAGTTTTGTAAGACAGTCTGTCCCATGCTGGTGAAAGCCACTTCAGGCCTGCCTCCTGCACAAAGAACAGCATTCTCCGGCCTCCTAAACAGAAGGGGAATCTATCAGACACAATCCATACCCATACAACATTGAGGCTGGTTGGTGAATTATATTATTATAAGAGATTCTGGATAACAAAAGAGGTTTTACAACATAGAAACATTTATGGGATGAAAATGAGATTTCTGCTCAAGTCAAACACTGCATAACAAAACATTTAATTGTTTTTATATTGTGGCTGTCCTATATCCAAAGGCTCAGCATTTGAGGTCCTTATATCTTGGCCAATCTGTTGCATGATGCAATAATCCAAATCTCCTACGGTTCGTTTCACTCTGAAATACATTGTTTCTGTTTCTTAAGGAATACTGGCAGATTTAAGAAATAAAGACATCACTATAAAATATTCCTAAGAGCACGATAGTGTCTTAAGAGAGTTTTAGAAGCCTTGCATTGGAAACAGTTACTGACACCCTTCACCATGGCAGTTTTTGAATTGCAATTCTCAGGATCTAAACAAGTGAAACCACCACTACATACTTTATTTTTGCTAATTAGATGTGCTGTGCAAATTCACTGTGGGATGTGCATTAATCACTAGATTTTAAATGATGAAACTCTCTTAGTGTCTTCTGGTCCTTGAGCTGGAAATAGCTCTAGTTGTGTAGCTTGGAAACCTCCATCCAGCTGGGTGCCAAAACAATATGGAATGTTAATGTTAAAGAATATTTGAAAGCACTGTCTGATAGAAGGATGGCTTAAAATAGTATTATGGTTTAGTCTGCTGAAAAGTATGCAAGTACTGTATTGTGCAATTAAATCAAATCTACCCAGTCATAAAAGTAATGCATAGTTTATACAGTGGGGCTTCTTGGGTCGTCTGGGAAGTAATATGAAAGAAAGATAAGCTACAGGCCAAAACAGTGCTCATGCTGAGAAAAAGGCAAGTCATGTTTAGTTCCAAGTCAAGCAAAACAATCAGAAATAGATTTCCTAGAAAAAAGTATATACAACTTTCGCAAGGCTCTGCCAATATTTTTAAAAATGCATGATATAGGCACTAAATTAAAAAATTAAAAATCTGACTTTTAAATCTATTTATCATTTTTTACAAGCACAGACAGTTTATTTTAATAGCACATTTGATGAAGCATCTATGTTTATGTGAGTGTTCACGAAATAAGTGGGAAATCTGCATTTGTTCTCGAAGATGATTATGGAGGGAAAATAAGTAGCCATTGATGCCTTTCATTGTAAATAAGCCAGAGTAGCTCCATCACTGCCAAAGAGTCACACATTAAAAGTCAAAGAGAAACCTACACACTCAGACACACACACATTAAATAAGAACAAGGTATATAGCACATGCTGACAAACTAAATAAAAGTTTAGTCTCAACCCTGTTCCTTACGAGTGTAGCTCTGGCAAATAATCTTTTTATATATTACAAATAGACTCCAGAGAGAGAGACCTGCATCCATTCACAGTAAGGCTTTCAAGATATATGAAGTTTTATAGCATTTGTATTTTAAGGATTTAGGGCAAGTACATGTTTTCTACTAAATAAAAAGTTAGTACTTAAAAGGTTCAAAAATATATCAAGTGATTTTTTTTTTACATAAATAAATTATATTGATTTTGGATTTAACAGCTGAAAAAACCTCTCTGCTTCCACTGGAGGCAAAACTGAACAAAATGTTAGTTAAACAGATAGCAGCATTTCTAAGAAATCTGTCAAGAGTGATACAGTATCTGTGCTACAGGGTGCTATTTAAATAGGGCCTATGTCATTATTCAATCTCTTGCAATAGCATAATCATAAATTGTTGAAATTGATTCCAACCCAGAAAACTCAGAATAAATTCACTGCAACATACAGACTTAATTTTAGTTCATGGGTAACAGACTTCTTTGAGATGCTAATTGTAACATGTACATACTTTATAATCCCAAATGTATAAAAGACAATGAAAAAAGCATCATAAATAAATAATGCAAACTGAAATAGTTATGTCAAAACATTTGGACCATCTGATAAATTAGCAAAACTGTAACAGAAAAAAAACAAGTAAAAAATACAGTAAATTGTGACAAACCAAATGTGAATCTGAATATGAGCATACACTCCGAAGCCCCTCTAATGGTCTGCCATTTAAACATCGCACCACAAAGTGTGTATTTTTTCAAGTCTCGAGCCATGAGCTATAAATTAGAACAAGCCCAAGTGAAAGAAAAGTGACATAGGAGTGGGAAAAAAGATGTAAGATTATGTAAAGATTACCTGTGGAGGGCGTTTCAACACACTGAGCTTTGGAAGCCTACTTATGTTTTTAAAGGGTTTCATCTGAAACACTTACACAAAATGTATGTGCAGAGACATTGGAAAATACCACTGAACAGTGAATGGGATGAAGAGGAATGGAAAGGGGGAGCAAAAACGTTTTCTTCACAGTCTAATACTAGAAACAGAGGATAAACTCAAGCTTTGAAACCGTCAACAGTCCTTAACAAAAGCCCATCTCACAGCTTTAAAAATTCTGATTTCAAAAAATAACATTTCTTAGGGTAGTAGAATTGATAAAAGCCAATCCTGTTCCCTCATAAGAAGATTAAAACCAGTAGTTTATTCTTCATTGGGGGAGGGGGAATTATTGTTAAGGGCCTTTGTGAGAAACGGCTAATAGAAAAATAAAAAAAAAATAACT